TCCTCCTCCTCCTCCTCCTCCTCCTCATCCTCCTCCTTCTCCTCCTCCTCCTCCCCTTCCTCCTCCTTCTTCTTTTATTACTGTGGAAATTATCCCATTGTCTGTCAAATAGGTAGATGATATTTTTCTCACTTTGTCATTCACCTTTTAATTTTGTTCATGACGTTTGTGTCAGCAAAAAAATTTGTAAATTTTCATTGTAGTAAAATTGATCAAATATTTCTTTTATAGAGAAATTATACCCTTAAAAACTAAATTTATGTATTTCTTGCTACTTTGTCTTTGATATCTTGCTATTGCCTTTTATAGGACAAATGCAAATCTCCTTTTCTAACATATAAGACTTATTACCTTATTCCTACTTAGCTCTTTATCTTTTGCTTGCTCTATGAACTCTTCACTAGAGTCCACTGAAGTCCCACCATTTCTCCAYGTGCATATCCATACACATCTATGTTCTTGTCCGACTCCTTCTCTTGCCTGTGGAAACATACGTAAAGTCAAGGTCTAAGTTGGAGGTGCTTTTGTAGGACCAGAGCTTTGTAAAGTAAATAAGTGAGGTTATCAGAGAACACAAATGAAAAGAATAGATGACCATCACAGTTATCAGTTTGGATCTTCTAATTCTTACCTTTTCCAAGAAGATAAAATAACTGTGCTAATTCAGTTTTATAACTACCTCACAATCTCACAACCCCATAGTTGTCTGAGACAAAATGTAAGTAGGATTCTGTGTCAAAGAAAACCAATAGCTAAAGAATTCCTGTCCTGGTCTCCCTGGAACCTAAGAGTGCTGCCAAGTGAGTAGGTTCTGGGCAATGGGTTATGACAAGTACTAGGTACAACTTGACACCTTCGAATTGGAAGGAACATATCCTCCTGTCACTTTTCACCTCACCTGGGAATGCGAGCACAGGAAGAAGGAATCCTGGGCTACAAAATGGAAGCTGTGTGTTGATAGGAAAGAAAGCAGAGGAGAGAAGGAGCCAGGGTACTATGGTTTATGTAAAACACCTTTTGGGCCCTTTGTGATTAATGCTTGGGCCATTACATGAGCTAAAAATCAACTGCTGTCTTGCATAAGCCATTGTTATTTTGGCCTTTGTTACAGAAATAATATCTGTATCCTGACTTATTTCTTGCTAATCCTTCAGGAAAGGTTGATATCAGGTAGGTAGGGAAATGGAAGCATGGAAGGTTTGATCAGGAAAACGATAATACTATAAAATTGAAGGATGAGGAGGAAGGAAAGAGAATAAGAGATGAATGTCAGATAAGGTCATCATCTCATCTCAAAGCTACTTGTGACTGTGATGTAGTCATTCAGGAACCCTTTCAGGGACAGACAGGAATACAARGCAAATGGACATCTCAGGAGAAGAAAGTGAAAGGAGAATGATATAGAGTATTACAAAGAAACACAGATTTAAAGGCCAGGCGAGGCTCTGGATTGTAACAGCAATGCCATGAGGCCCAAACCCCATGATTATTAAAATAAAGCAGTCAAAAATACCAGTTCAGGGGGAAAGGGCAAAAGATACAGGCCTGGCAAAATGGACCCTGGGCTCCTATTTCAAGCACCTGGTTCCCATTAATCTCTCATCCTTGATAGACTCTTACAGTGCCTCCTGCTTCTSTCCAATGTTGTCCTGTGCTGGTATGTAAATTAAACCAGCAGCTTTAATCTTTATAATGTTATAGCAGAGGAATGATGATGATAAAAATGGAGAATGGAGCCAGAGTCCATAGGATCCAAATATGCAGTAGCAGAATGCTTCACATAGATAACAGGGAAAAGGGAAAGAAAGCCCAATTCTTCCTCCATCTTTGAACCCTTACCTTCCCTTTACCCCTTTCCAATCTATGCATCCACAGGTCGTGTTAAGAAACCCCTTTCCAGTTGGCCTATTTCCAAGTCATGGGTACAGCTGGGCCGAAGGGCCACATGTTGAAGTTATTAATATGCCTATGCCCTTCTCCCCCACTGCGTTCACTGATCAAAGGCCCTGCCAGAGCAGCAATGGATAGCCTCGCATAATGGGAACTGAAATTCTACTTAAGAAACCAGCTTTGCCAAAACACACTACCTTTTTAAGTGAAACATTCCATGCACATATTAACCTGATTACAGAAAGGAAAGGGGATCTTTTTTCCTTCTGTACCCTGCTAATAATTTTCTGTCAAGTCTGATTTGGCTTTAGCTGCACTCCAAATTCTTGTGATGTGCCCCGTTCACCAGTAAACTCAAAACAGAAGGTGCTGCACAAATTCTGAGACAGGATCCCCTGGTCCATGCATACAGATGCTGCAGAATTCAGTTCTCTGCCAACAAGGAAGGCCAGTGACTCTTCTAGTTTCTGACAACCAGCAGCCTGCCTCTGATTCACACAGTCAGGGAAWGAAACACATGGAGAAATGGTGGAAATAATTAAGGGTTCTTGGAGTTAACAGAAGCACTGACTCATTACACGGAGCCCCTGCCTCAAAAGGGAGTAAACCATTGTGCTTGTTAGAGAAAAGAACAAACGGTAACAAAGCATATTAAAGTCCCAATCAGTCCCAGACCCAGGCTGAAAAACAGGTAAGGTTAAAAAAGAAAAAAAAAAAAAAAGAAAGAAGAGAAAGGGAAACAAATCAGATTTGAAGAAATGCTTCATGTTATATACATTTTTTTTCCAGAATAACTTGGTTCCTGCACAGTTGACAAAATTTGCTCCCAGACAGTATATCAAATGATCTAGATATTATACAGTCACCGACCTAGAGGAGTTTAATAAGACAGTCCTTGTTGTCAAATGTGCTTAGTGGCTTGTTTGGGAGCCTCAAGTACAAACTGCAGTCTTTTTCAAGATTTATAACATCTCAAATCCAAATCTCCTCTGCCTGCAATTATAAATATAGAGACACAGACCTTCCAAAAAGAAATCTGTCTTATAAAGATCTCCACTTACTTCTCCAGTCCTCATTGCTGTACACACTAGAATGTGCTGAGTAGTTGGTATGTTCTAGGAAAGATACAGAAATTCCCCAAACAAACAAAAAGTAAATAAAGGGCAGAGATGGTCTGTGCTAGATGTTTCCTATTTATATGAACTTCTTCAGTAATATCTTGCAAGACTTTAGCAGGTGGCCTGCCAAAACACATTAGCTTGAGGGGGCTTTTATCTGAAGAAAGAGGGCCATTAGGTAGCTATCACTAGCAAAACTCACATAATTAGGCATGTTATTCCATTTTTCTTAGTACATCTTCTGACCTTTTATTTTTCTTTTTTTAAAAAAATATTTCTCCTGTTATGACAGAGGTATCAGACTCACCCAGAGTGGATGTCCTAGATACCCCAGCATGTCCTGCATTTGCTCTTCCTTTTGACATCCCTTCAGCAGTCTGTCCCAGAGGCCTGAAAAGTCGACTTGTTGCTTTATAGAGTGGACTATCTCCTATTAGTGCCAGGGTTAATGTTGTGTTCTTCTTGAGCAATCAGAGAAGGCCATGTCCTGGACTGACACAGGACATAATTTCTCACAGTTATGCTAGAAGAGACAAGATCAAGGTGATTTCTTACAAAAATACACTTGACCTTTGAATCTTGCTTGTCTCTAAAGGGGGAATGACCACGGATGGAATTCAAAACCACATCAGCCAAGAATCTGTAATGATTCACTCCTTGTTGGCATTCAGTAAAGAAAACCATAGCTTTCAAGTGTGAGTCCAAACCTAAAACTGAATAAACTAGCATGCTTTGATCCTGAGTGCTTACCTTTAAAAATATTAGCTGTAATGGTTGTAGTTAGATAACAAAATGTAGGAAATAATTTATGAATTCTTGCTGGGAAATCACAATTTCTCATATGCTAATATACTAATGTAGTTATCTTTATACCTAATGTACCTTTAAATTAAAAAAAAWWRRAAAWYAAAAAAAAAATCAACAAATCATTCTTGAAAAAGAAATGAAATTTCAGAATATATTGCATTTCCTTCAATGAATTTCTTTCATTTATCTTTATCATACACATTATGGTATATAATATCACCCACCCAAATCCCCTAGCCAAAAAAGTAAAATAAAATTTCAGCAAGGTGAAAAAATGAATGAGTCTTGAGTAACAAAACTACCTTTCTTGGTCTTTTCACTATGAAAATTCGTAGAAGAGGAAGAGATGTTTTATGACTCCCTTAGCATATTGTAAAGAGAGGCGCTTTTTTTTTTTTTTTTTTTGGGTATTGAACCCAAGGACACTTTACCACTGAGTCACATCCCTAGTCCTTTTAATTTTTTATTTTGAGACAGAGTCTCACTAAGTTGCTGAGGGTGGCCTCAAACTTGCAATCCTCTTGCCTCGGCCTCTGGAATCACTGGAATTACAGGTGTGCCATCACCATGCCTGGCAAAGAAGACCATTTATAATCAGTCATTGGAAGTAGGATCTAATGATTTCACACACACACACACACACACACACACACACACACACACACACACGAGGTAGAAGGGGAGAGAGGGAGAAAGGAAGGAAGGAAAGGAGGCAAGCTGAAGAGTGTGCACAGGGAGCCCTCCTTCAAGCTGAGCATGAAGCAAGACAGCAGAACAGGATGACCTAGCGATGGAAACAGGAGGAGTACACATCAGGCCTTTAGGAAAGAGGAGAGATGAAGCATCCTCAACTGACATAACTAGTGCATAGAATGTTCCTAGCACTGAAACATGAATATTGCCATCTAGAAAAGTTTTTGTGGATGTTTAAGAAGCTCATAATAATTCACACATGGTTACTCCAAAGACATTTTTCTAGGAAAATCTTAACTACAGGTGTACCAGCCACCTCATAAATCTAGACATTTGCTTTACTGAATTTGCTTTGCCATTGTGTTTAAGATATGAGTGGGAGAAAATCTCCAGGTATGGGGGAGAGAAATGCTTTCATCTCCAATAGACATCAAAGTCAAATCCAAAGTAAGTCAGGGACATACTTTTAATCCTTGTCAAGTCACCTGTTAGATTCTTTTGTTCCCCAAACCGCAGTAACTTTTCATTGCTAGTGCATAAATATTTACTAAGACATCATTGTACTCAAGCAACGAAAGCCAGGGATATGACCTGTACAAAACCTAGCCCCAGGAGGTCAGCTATAGCTTTGGGAAGCAGAATTTGTATCTAAATCTCTTCTTCACTGGAGTAAACCTGGGATGGACCGTTTTGTTGGCAATATTGGGCTCATCTAGTATAATATATATTTTTGTTTTGTTATGTTTTAAGTAACATTTAAAACACATTTTGTAAAAGCAATATACTTGGAATAAAATTCAAACAGTATAAAGGGAGTACATGAAAAGCAAGTCCTTCTCCCATCCCTGACCCTCAGTTCTATTACTTATGAATCCATAAGATAATACAAACACACAGTTTATGCATATAAAATACTCATTATTTCTTTGTTCATAGAGATGTTAACATATGATGCAACCTATTCTGCTTGCTATATTTTTAAAAAATTTATTTTATTGTAGTATACACTTGCACATAAAGAACTTAAATGTACATTTTAATTGAATCATATAACGAAAATACTAACCTAGATTAAGGAAAGAACCCTACAACACCAGAAAAATCTTCCCTCTCTACAAGTCCCTTCCTGACCACTGGACTAACTTCTCCCTTGGAGTAGAAGGAACCACTTTCCTGGCTTTTATGGAAATAACCTTCTTAGTTTTCTTTAAAGTTTACTATATAAGTATTGATCTATAAATAAAATAGTTTTCAGTTTGAGGCTTTTAGAAATAGTGCAACTAGGAAGAATGTTGTTCTATTGCTTGGTGTACCTGTTGGTGAGTTTCTCTAGATGAACAAATGCATAGCTTCATCTTTACTGTGTCATGAAAAGTGTTGCTTAATTTATGGTCACAGCAGTAGTTTATGAGAAGGCTTCCTACTCTAAATCTACAGTGGTACTTGGTAATGTCAGATTTTTAGCTCATCTCTGGATATGTAGTTGTATCCTATTGTGCTTTTAATTTGTATTTCCCTGATTATTGACACTATTGATCTTGAAAATTTCTTCTTTTGTAAAGTGTTTGTTCAGATCCCCCCGCCATTTATATACCTTTCTATTTTGTGCTGGACAGAGATTGAACCCAGGGCTCACACAGGCTGAGTATATGCTCTACCACTGAGCTATCGTCCCAGCCCCATGTTTTCTTACTGACTTTAGGAGTCCTTCCTACATCCTGAACACTAGTGCTTTGCTAGTTATGCATGTTGCCTTTCTCCTATTCCACGGTTTGCATTTCCTCTTCTTATGCTGTCTTTTGATATGCTGAAGAAGTTCTTTGTAGAGCCAAATTTATCTGCATTTCCTTTTCTCATAAAAGGTTTTAAAATTTCCCTTTATCTCAAGGTCATACAAAATGTTCTTCTATATTATTTTTCTAAAGATTTTATTATTTTTGCTAAAAGAAATTTTAGGTGTATGGACCACCTAAAACTGATGCTACATAGGGGTTCTGTTTTAAATTTTTTTGCACATGGATTTTTTTCTAATACATTTTATGAAAGGCTCATCCTTTGCCTACTGCTCTGGACAGCATCCCTTGTCATAAATTAAGTATCCATGCTTGTGTGGTCTCATGTGGGGCTCTAATCTGTCTCTTTTTTCTGTTGCCCATGTATGTACCTATTCATCCTATTTTATTATGCCCAATCAGTCTTAAAATCAGATAGTAAAACAGTGTTTCTATTTCTTCTTCAAGAATAGTATCTACTTCTTGGTCTTCCTATATTTTCATATACACTTTAGAATTAACTCATTGAGATTTTGATGGGCATGAAATAAGTCTTATATATCAAATTAGAGGAAAATAACAACTTTGAAAAAGATCAGTTAGAGGATCTACAGGACATGATTTCAGGACTTACTAATATGCTGGGTAATAAGTCAGTGCAAAGGTCTTTTGGTAGATATTGAGATCACTGGTACAGAAATGGTATTGTACATACATGATCAATTGATTTTCAACAAAGATGCCAAGGTAATTCTTGGTAGGATTTGGAGTCTTTCCCACAAAAGTGCTGAAGCAATTTGACACCTGGATGTCATTTATTTTTTTCAAAAGCAACTGCCCAGTCTATGCTTCACATCATAAAACAAAAACAAAACAAACAAACAAACAAAAAAAAACAAAGAAACAAACAAAAAACAAGTTTAAAATGAAACATAGACCTAAGTGTAAAACTTGAAACTTTAAGCCAGTTGCAGTGGCACATACCTGTAATCCCAGTGGCTTGAGAGGCTGAGGCAGGAGGATCTTGAGTTCAAAGCCAGCCTTACCAAAAGCCAGGTGCTAAACAACTCAGTGAGACTCTGGCTCTAATTAAAAAAAAAAAATACAAAATAGGGCTGGGTATGTGGCTCAGTGGCCAAGTGCCTCTGAGTTTAATCCCTGGTACCAAAAAACAGAACAAAACAAATAAACCTTAAAATTTTAAGACTTTTAGAAGAAAAGGGAGAGAAATCTTGAGGATCTTAGATTAGCATAGATTCCTCGGCTAAAACATAGAAAGTAACCACCATGAAAGAAAAATTGATGATTGGACTTGAAATGGAAAACTTCTGGTTAGTTAAAATACAGTACTAATAAACTGAAAAGATGGATGGCAAATTAAATACTTCAAGTTAGTAGTCAGAAGGAAATGGAAATCACTATCACAATGAGATACTGGTACAGATCTTGTAGCATTGTTATAATTCATGAAAGCAGACAATACTAGACTTTAGTGATGTGAAAAGCAACTGGAATGTTCATGCAGTATACCATTATAGAGTCATTTTAGAAACAGTGTATTAATTATCAATTGTTGTAACAATTAAAATATGCACATATTTAGTAGCTTTAAACAACAACACATTTATTATCTCACAGTTTCTATGAGTCAGGAATCTAGACAGAACTTTATTGCATTCTCTGCTTCAGAGTCTGTACAAGGCTGCAATCAAAGTGTCAGTCCCACTTGGGGTCTTACCTGAGGTACAAAGGGGAAGAAGGTTCCTTTCTCAAATGCATGTGGTGATTGTCAGGATGAAGTTCCTTGCTGCCATCTGATTGAAGGCCTCCTGTTGAGTGCTGCTTGATGATTGCTCTGCTTCTTGCCAATGGACCACACTGTACAACAACTCACTTCCTCATGGCCACAAAGAAAGAGAATAAAGTCTGCCAGCAAGAGGAAGCTACAGCTTATCTGATGCAATCATGGAAGGAATATTTCATTCTATTGCTGTATGTGATTGGTTAGAAGCAAGTTACATTCAAGGGGAGAGTATTACACAAAATATCAGCACATAAATTCCAGGAGGCAAGGATGATTTAGGGCTATCTCAGGGTTTATCCACCACAGCTAACTTCTAAAGTTATATGTTACATTTACCAT